GCCGCATACTCATACACACATGGTCAGACACCCACAAACAACTGCCCCAGACACCCACAGCCACCCAGTACAGACCCACAGACACCTGCAGGCCCAGGCCCAGGCCCAGGCACACACACACACACACACACACACACACACACACACACACACACACGCAGTTTTTTCTCTGTACTTGTGTTTTTATAATCACCGCAAATGCCAGTTAGGAAGATAATTTTTCATATCTCTTTTAAGATAGTTGCCAGTGACTTTGTCAGTCAAGCAAGTCTATGAAAATAAGTGAGAGGAACAGAAAAGATCCCAGTTGTATAGAAATAATTCTCAGTAGTCCGGGACCACCCAGGAACAGAAATTCTGCCTCCCTGCTGAAATGCTTTGGTGAATTCCTCAAGTTAAGTCCTGTCGCTGTGCCAGAGAAGCAAAGCCCATTCCTGGTTCGAACCATGATATTTCCCCTGTGCGTGCCTTTTCCCTCTCAGCCTGTCATGACATCCTTTAAGTGCCGCCCCCAACCAGCCTGTCTCCCATCATATGGCGCAGTTTATCAGCAACACTGGTGCAATGTCCACTTTTGAGTTGAAAACAAGCTCCATATAGTGCACGTATGCTTCCCGAAACTGGGAAAATATTTATTTTCATGTGGTAGCTGTGAAGTTAGAATTAAGCTCTCTGCTGTTTATAATTCAACCAACATCACTTTCACTTTCTTCTACAGCTTGCCCCAGTTTTTCTTTCCTTTTCTAATTACAGCAGCTGCTTTTGTGTTTCCCTGGGATGGGCAGAAATTTTTTGAACTTATTACAGTCCCTATTTAGGAAAATGTCTGTGGCAAACAATTTCTTTTTGATCATTTTTTAGAAAAGGAAAATGACTAATGATGAAATGAGTTATTAGTGACTTTTTAAACCTATAATTAAGAGGCTCTTATCTTAATCTTATTTTCCCCTTTCTTCTTTAAATCCCAGACGCCGAATGGCTTGCCCACAGTGAACAGCTATGTCACAGCACCCAGCATCCCTCCCTACCACCCTCCCACCCAAGTGTCACCCTACATGGGGTACAGCGCCACCACGTCGGCCTATGTGACCGGACCCACGTGGCAGCCAGCCAGTGGCAATGCTCTATCTCCCCACAGCTGTGACATTGCCACCCCGCTGGCCTTCAAGAGGATGTCAGCCAACCGTGACGCCATCCACCCAGTCGCCGCCTCGGCGCTGTGAAGTCAACTCCACAGACTGATGGGAGAAAGGGGGGTGGGAGGGTGTGAAGGGGAGTGGGTTGGGTGAGAGACGGAGAGGACATTCAACTCCAAGTCTGTCCGTGGTGGCAACTGTTTTCCACTCCCACTGCCAGCTTTCTATGAAGGACTCGGCCCCAGGACTCATATCTGCGCCACTGGGTATATGATGCCCCTCCGAGCTAAGCGCAGTCAGACCAAAGACACACAACGAATAAAAAGCCTGTCAGTTTTTACAGCAAATGTGTTGTCTAAAAGTACTTGCAGGACAGGTGTTCCAAAGACTGACATATGACTGCTACACCACCCATCAACATAATTCCTCTCAGATTCTTTACTGCACATCTGCAAATGTCTCTGGGCAAAATGGGGTAATGTATAACTTCATGAATACAGAATCAAAGAAAAGGGAAAAAAAACTTTACATTAGTGTTTCAGGGTGCTTAATAATAATAATAATTGCTATTGTTTTTTTATGTTTGTATGCTTTTTGTTTATGATTTGATAAAAGTAACTGTGTTATGGAGCGTTGTTTTCCACTTCTCTAAAAGTGTAGCCTATGCAAGAGCTTCAAAGGGAAGTTTATTTATTAGATTAAAGGTACGTTGAATGAAGTGCAATTAGTCTTACAGAAAGCATGGACATCTCCACGCACATTTAGACAGAATTGGCATTGGGCACATTGGAGTCTAGAGCATTAACATAATTAATTGTCAAATGTTGCACAATGAAATTGAATGTATCTTATTAAATTGTTTGGCTTTTATTGGTCTTCGTGGAGTTTTCTGGCTGTTTGGGGATTCCTCAACACTTATTATTCGGAGAACAGAAAACAAGTGCACCATCACAGCTAAAAATATTTCATCTCTTTTTCTTCCAGCTATTCTAGACTCAGGGCATTGTGGCCTACTGGCCTGTTTTACATGAGCAGGAAACTGCTTTCCATAAAAGAAAAAAAAAAAAAGACGTGTGCACGCTGACAAGGCCTGTATTTTCTATTACCATGCGTCATGGCTCACTAGGAAACTTCATCAGAAATGCTTTGGGAGCACGAGTGTTTGCGACCACTTGAAGCAATTCTTTGAAAGTCCTTTGGCCATTAAAAATGGGTACATGTCTTCTCACCTCATTACATTTAATGCAGTCCTTTCTGTAAGCATAAAAAATTATACCTGTGCATTAGAGTGACAAAAACACAATTTGAGTAATTTGGGTTCGCACTATTTTAACAGATTATTCCCATAAAAATTATAAATAAAAATAAAACACAAATGAATAAAATGTGCAAAACATAAGAGAATTTTGGACATTTCCCACTGCAACCAAACTGAAAAAAAGTCAAAATGCAGTGTATATTTATACTTTGAAACATATAATATTAATTCCAGTAAAGCCCTGCTGTCTTTAAAAAATAATAATAACAGCCTAATGTCATGCATTATAATTTTCAACCATTTTAAGTCATAGAATTTTTTTCATATGGTTTTGTGGGAAAAATAGTAAATAAAAATATCAGCTTTTCAAACAAATTTGAGATCTGTGTGCCCAAGAGTCCTAGACTCCTGGGGTCAGGTGCAGTCCATGTACATTCAGAGAGCCACAAATAGACTCATTGGCCTGCGGTTTCCAAGGTCATCAGACATGTGACCCAAACACGAACCTCCAGCAGCCACATAAAGGGCCAAATAGGGCTGTCAGGGCCAACTCAACGTGTTCATTACAAAGGAAAAGCACACAGGCCATCTGACAAATGACATGTTTGCAAAATGATGCAAAAATACTTTCTGAAAGTGTATAGGGGGGAAGAGTGTAGTGTAATAAATTACGAGTGAGTCTGGCAAGCCCTGTCTAGCCCTGCAGTGGAAACCACAGATTTACACAAACTGGGCTTTAGTTGAAGTTGTAGATTGATAACTTGATATAGGTGCTTACCCAGCTCTTTCGCATAGCATTACCTGCTGCCGATGGTTCAGTAGGTGCGCGGCTCAGTTTTTCTTTCCCTCCCGCGATACAGCATAAACAGCCTCTGCACGTGACAGTGTCAACAGTCCTCCCCATGCAGGAGCTGATTTGACTTGGAAAGCAGTCTTCCCCGCATCCAGTGGTCACGGACCGTTGCTCAGGGATCGTAGTGTTTCTTTGACCGTATGTGAACCACATCACAGAGACGAGATGTTCACTCGCTGTACCAGCCAGCCATCACGGCCACCCTTTTACCATCCACCATCCATCATGAACGGCAAATGATAGTTAAGTCTCTGAGTGGCATGAAAGAGTCGTTACACGCTCTGTTCTTTACCTCAGCCGACACACAACAAGGCCAAACAACTTTTCCTTTCAACTAAGCTACATGAACTGCACACAGCCTTGTTAGTCTAGTCTGACTCACAGAACAAAATTAAAATGTGGTTGTCTTAATTGACAACAGTATTCAAAAAACAGGAACAGTGTGTTTTCTAGACAGGAGGAAGCTTCTCGAAAGTCTAACAATCCCTGCTCTTGTAGTTTAATGTTGGTCAGCTTTATGGAAAGAGAGGTCTAAAAGGCGTACTTAAAAAAAAAAATAATAAGGGCAGACACGTGTTTACAATTAATTAAGTTGAGTCTGACTTCAGTGTCATATGGTTATCTTTACTTCTCCGCATGCAATTAGAAGCAAGACAGCCATTTACAGAGTAACACTGAGCAGAGAAAGTAATACCGGCTGAATACAGGACTTCATGCGTGCTTCTGCTCAATGAACACTTTTAAAAGCAGCTGACAACAGCCAGAATGTTTTCTTAATGTCTTAAAACAACAACAGTGAGGAGACAGGTGAGCAAAATGGAAAAAAATAAGTGCCGTGTTTTTAAAAATCACGTCTGGTGCCGTGTCTTTGTGTGTGTGTATGCATGGCTGACTGCTTTTTACCTACAGTGTAAATTGCAGACATTTTAATATACTAATCATTAACCACATTTGCACTGGGAAAGGCAGGTAGAGCCATGCCCAGGTTGCAGCCTTGTCAAAGCGGAGCCACTGAATTGAGATGTTACAGATGAGGGTGGGAAAATCCATAAAAAGGGCGCAAAGAAAATGACGTGAGGGAGACTTATAAGATTTATGATTATTGCAGTGTGCAGGGAATTCATGGTAAAGTTTCACAAGCTTTTAAAATACAGATACAGATTCAGAACTCCATTACATAAAGGACAGGTTAAGCGCTTACAATTCCATCAGTCTTCAAGCCACAGTTGTTAGTCTCTCACCGCGGGCCCCTAGGCAAAAACTAGGAGCCGTTCCATTTTGGCAGAGAGTGACTCCCACATTAATGATGAGCCAACGTGGCTCACTATACCAGCTACCAGATGAAGTTAAGATGAGTCTCTTCGAGAAGCCACTATGCCTAAGGCTGTGCAACAGGTGTGTGTATATATGTGTTTTTGAATATTTGTATAAGAAACAGACTGAGAGAGAGAGAAAGAGAATGTGTGTGGTAACCCCCTCGATCCCTGCAGCCCCATTTGAATTCTTGGGGCTTGTTATTTTAGCTTGCACTAAATGTTCGAGCGCTGACTACCCGCCAGAGAGAGAAAGACTGACACTAAGTTGGCTACGAAGCGCTCGGATGACAAAAAGGAGAGTGATGAAGTGGCAAACTGTAGAAAGGGGATATTCTTATATCGATGCCAAGATGAAACGGTCCCAGTTAAGACAAAAACAACAACACGAATCTACTGTTACAGGACACGCAACACACAATTATACAGTGACGAAAATGTGGGTTCATTTTTTCTTTTTATTTGTTACCAATACATGAAAGAACTGTCCAGTTGTTGTTTTTGTTTTGAGGTTTTTTTTTCAGGAAGGTCTTAAAAAGGAAAATCCACACAACATTTTATCAATAAAACCTTGAAAACATATAAAACTCAGATTTTTTTTTGGAGGTACATTAAAAACAGAAGAATCCCATCGAATACTGTCCATTTTCATGGTGCAGGGTGCACCAAAACCTTCATATTTTCCATAGCACTTTTCTTGACAAAGCCAGAAAATGATTATTGAAAAAACTGAACTGCATGTTAAATTGTTGTTGTTGTTTTTTTTTTAAATAACGTGGAAAACAGGAAGCTCTCAAAGGTGTTGACAGTTTTGTGACTGATTGTCTCAGGCAGGACGGTTTGCCCCCAGCATCCAGTATAATTATGGAACGACATCAAAAGAGACTCTCCGCGTGCCTTTGCGATGCCATGGGCTTCTGGTGCCAAGTTTGATCCGTGTATTAAGAACAAACTGGCAAAAACATATGCATTAATAACTTTTGCAATAAGCTTTCATAACGCCAGTGTTCTTTTTAGACATTAAAACACTATTTCTGCTAAGGCTCAGTAGTACACGGATGAAGATAGATGTAATCAATCAGCAGACTTCCAAGGAATCCTCCAAAAGTTGCAGTAGCACTGGGAGCAGTGCTTTGCTGCACAATGAGGTGTTCTTGAAGGCTGCTGAATTTAAATTTAAATATGATTTCTACTGTTTTATGCACACTATGTCTGAACTTCCTGATTGCATCTTGTATTTGCATTTATGAATACATATACCATAAAAAGATGAATATGTATATATATATTATAATGTGATAAAATAGGAGACTGGAGATTGATCGTTGTACAAACTCATCTTAATTGAGGATATATGTTCAAGTATAGCTGTAAATAGACAGAAATCAGGATAATCATAAAAATGCCTTCACTCTATTTTTGGTGTTTTATGTCATTTGAACACATTTCAAGTATTTCTATATAAATAGAGTTCATATTCTGAAGCGTTCAGCTCAGTCTACTTTGTCTTTGTCTATTTAATCTGTGATTGTTGCACCAAACCAGTGAGATGAGCCCAAAAAAGTAGAAAAACATGAGAACTACAACCAATGAAATGTGAAAACACTATGTTAATGCATGACTTCATTAGGAACACTGATTTGTCAATGATTTTAAACTCAATGAAGACTATTTTCAGGTATTAGAACAGTTCCTTCAGACTCAAAATGTGTTGTAGCATTTTGAATGTGGGAAATGAAAGCTGCATTTTAAAACATAATATAATGCTGATTTGGTAATTTGAGTTTTTTGTATTCAAGATAAAAAAAAAAATCAAATTTATTCCGATATACTCTGATCAGGTAACGATACTTGCAATAAGGCACAGTTCACAAGGCACCATTGTGGGGTTCCCTGTTTTGTTACCAGTTTCTCTGCAGCCACTCAGACACATATTCATAGACCAACAGCATTACTGCTCCACCTGTGAGAGAATATAAGAGAAGTACCCGTTGTGAATTTGATTTTCAGAGGCTTTACTTCCTCAGTGAGTTTCTGAGAGCAGGAACATGTGAAAAGTTTGTAGCACTTGTTTACAAAGGAGGTGGACGGTATCTCTAGCTCACTGTATTTCCATTTAAAGCTTATTATTGTGGAATATTATGTAAATACTGTTCCTTGGAATCTGCTGAGAAGGAAATAGTGTTTGCTACAGCCTTATTTCACTGGAAGCACTGCATGCAAAGTTGAAATGCTAATATGCTTAAGGGAAGGCTTTTTCTTGCTTAATCGCTCTCTTCACCAGCCTTATCTGCTGCAACAGGTGTGACAGATGTGAGGATGACAATGATTTCAATATTAACACGAGGAATTTTTTTTTTTTCTTACCTGGTCCAAGCCTCATTATCTTGGGAACCAATCCCTTGTATAGTGCCAAATACCTGCAAAGAAAGGAAAGAAAAGCTGTAAGGTGTTAATGTGCAAAGATTTTAGCTAGAATCCAGTATATGTAAATCGTTTCAGTTTGCGTAATGGCTGTGCTGCGATGGAGTTGAAATGTAAATTAGTGCAAATGGAGTGGTGGTGTGTACATTTTAGACTGCACATAAGTACTTCTCATGTGTCCTACTTCATATGTCAAATCTAGCACAACTCAAAGGCAAATTTTAAACCTCTGACATCACTTCATTTATTAAATATCATTTTAGATGCTTTGCAGATCTCAAAGAAAACCAATGAAGTGAACTCATACACAGTGAACTCTTGTGTATGATAATCTATTATCATTTGATCTAAAAAAGAAATTCAGAAGCTGCCTAGCAATTCATGAATCAAGCCCCAGCTTTATTAGATGTAATGTATGCAATGCATCAATACTTACAGTTTGCTATTATAATAAGCAAGTTCTGAATAGAGTCATTTTTACATGATAAATCTATTTGTTTTTGGAAGTGTTTGACTGATCTGAGTCCTTCCATATGCTGGTTGTATACATGCGCCTGTGCTCTTGCTTGTGAATGCATGAATGAGTATACATGTGAGAGCCTGTCTGTCTGTCTGTCTGTCTGTCTGCTGCGCTGCCTGTCTGTCACTCCATCAGGTATATAGGGTCCAGCGGCCAGCGCTACCGAGTACCTGCTCCTTAATGCATTCAAGGTGATCAGTGGCTGTCCGCCTCCGCCTCGTGCTCCCTGTCCCGCTCCCTGCCCCCGCCACTGATGGCGTTAATAAGGCTCGACCCACTTCCTCCCTGGCCCTCTGTCTGATTAGATTGACCTGTGGAGCGCCGTGCGGCTCGTTAGGGTCTGCTTAACGACGTCTCCCATAGGGACCACTAATTAGCTGGGACTGTGTTGTGTTAGAGAAGGGGACTGGATGTGGCGGATGGGGCACCATCCATGCACCCCTGCAACGACAACATTTCAGTGCCATTCTTGCAACAACCTCTATACTAACAACATCCACTAACTACAAACATATCGCTGGCCCTTGTCTAGCGGAGCAGCATGGGGGAAAGTGGAAAGCCTGAGGCAATTGCTAGCATAACATACATCTTTCCTTGAAGCTTCCATTTAGAGCTGTCATTCTTTGAGGCATGAAAATATGTTAACATTTACTAAACAACTGACAGGCTGCAGAAATGTATGATCGTACTCATGGGGAATACAGCCCAGAATCTAACATCATTATTTAGTTTCCATTCATTGGATCACAGTTTTGCATGAAGCTATTCGTGCTTTTTGCTGTATTTAGTGTAGGAAAGTCACTCCACACAATCAAACCCTGCTAACTTGTAGCTCCAGCTGGTACATTTGTCTTCTCTGACAGCCAGTTTGGCAGATAACCAACTATCGACTGCTAACAAAACAGACAGAGTGGCTCATTAATTCTTGAATGAATCAGCATTCCAGCTTTTGTCCCGAACATCCCCTGTTTTTCTCCTCCCACATTTGTCCATACCCCTCTTCGCGGTACACTAGTGCCATGGTCTGGAAGCAGGTGCGGTACTTGATCTCTCCTGGCACTGGCTGGGGGCCCTGGATCCGGCTCTTGGCAACATCGAAGGGAATATTCACACAGGAGGAGATGGTCCCAGACAACAGGCCGATGGTAAACTTGCGCAGGAACTCTAGGGTAGGGTCCTGAAAAAGGAGGAGATAAAATTAGGTATGCCTTTTTAAGGGTGACACTTATATTTTTAAAGTGTGAACCACAGGGTTAAATTTGGTCCCATAAAACATAAACAGCAAATAGAGCTTTTGGAAATAAAAAGGAAAGTAGTGACAGGGAGTTGACAAAGTCAGCGCTGAGACATTATGTGTCTACGTCTATGAGCGAATGTGGGGGAGAGCATGAGGGGACTTGTGCATATGATTGCAAAGCTTGCATGAAAGCCCTGATCATTTTATGGTAGCGGGGGGGCAGATTAGTGCTTCCTGACTGCAGTGCAGCATTCTGATTGGCTGAGCAGAAGCACATGTTCACCGGGGAGCCAAGACAGAGGATTTATAAACAGGGTTCATGCAGGCAGACTGGGGAGGCATATGGGGACAATTTGGGTAATTGGGCTGTGACTCGGCACAGGGGTATTACTGTACCAAAGAAGCCCAGACTCAGAGAGCTCTGACAGCTAATTGGCCAGGATATTTTTACAAATGACAGCAGCCTCTCTGGTCCAGGCCTTTCTCAAGCGGCTGGACACCCTGAGAGCCATGGTAAATCAACAGCTAATCCCACTTTTTCTATTTTTTTCAAGTGGGATGTGGAGAAGGGGGCAACGTAACTGTGGCCTAAGTACACCCATCAACCCACTTCCTAACAGCCTTAAGCAAACATCTCCTCACACATTCACTTGTGAATGATGGCAGTGTGCTATCTGCCTCCTCTGTTAGTCAAAAGGCCACATGAGAGAAACCTGGACTCGACAGTCTGAATTCGACTGCAGACAAGTTTGAGTTGCAAGTTCATTGCTCATGTTGCTGACACAAGGCCTTTGAAGAAACACCACTATCAGTTCAGCCTGTGAATTGCACAACGTCCACAATATTTCTGCTTTTGCTGTCTCGACAATGGCCACTGTTAGCATCTAACAAACAGGATCGCTCCATCAATGTGCATCGAGACGGATAATTCCCAAAAAGCAACTGCCACAATCTAAGAAGGGAGCTATTTGAGTCATCCAGCCACATAATTATCATTCACAGAAGATGACCACTTGGTTTTCTGTACATCATGCGTCATTGGAAAAATGTTGAAAATTTAGCAGAGCCTGGCCTCCCACTGTAACCCTCCTCTTGAAAATAGTACAGTTGTCTGCTTCCAATTAGTTCATTGGAGTTAATCTAATGCTCCAGTTTGCACATGTGGAACTGGCGTATGGTAACGTTTCCATTAAACAAAATTAACTTTTGTTTGGGCCATCAGGAACTGCCGGATGTGTAATCTGAAACTTTGAGGATGTTATGAAGAGCAAACAGAAGAGGTATTAGTGGGGCTGATCTTACAAGTCCTCTCTGATTTTTGCTTCCTTCCCTCCATGCCAGTCAGGCTAACTAATAATACTGTTAAATACATTTGGTATTTCCCTGTGGCAAGGTTGTTGGCACACATGCATATCACATAGCCTATGGATAGCAAAAAAACTAGGTGTAGTCAAGGTTACCAATGTCAAAGCAAGGTTAAAGTGGTTTGGAAAAAAAACCCAAAACAAGTAAGTGTGTGATCATAGATTATGATTGGCATATTACCGGGTTGGTAGGAATAGCGTCCTTGACATTGAAGTAGAAGCCAAAGTAGATCATGTTGAAAACTCCATGGCGCCCCAGTGTTGATGTTAATCCTTTATTAAGGCCCCTCAGTCCAAAGCCGTCTGACTTAATTATCCGTCTTGCTTGGGCAAAGGAGGAGGGTTGCTGTATTGGAAAGATTGAATTCGAAAGAAACACATGTGAGCAGATTTCTATGGAAAGATGTGTAGATTACCAATATTTTACACATTATGACAATATTTGATTTCAGTCAACCTCTTTGAAGGAATCCCTGTTGGCCTGGAGACTGACTTTCACCACCTCGAATGGATTGATCACTAAAGCCTCAGTCAAGCCAGAACCAAGCCCTGCTGCAGACAGCGCCTAAAGGGGAGTTGGACGTGATTTAGGACTCAGAATGTGGAGATAATATTTGGGTAGAGACCGAGCAAACTAGATAAACTGATGAAGACAATGAAGAGTGACAACGTGTCCGGGTTTCAAGAGCTGCCGTTGTTATTTCATTTCCAGAAACCTGAGTCTTTTTGTCTTGTCTAAAATATGTATTCGTCACAGCCATCATTGTTACTTCTTGACAAATGCTTTAAGACGCCTGTGTTTATCATCAGACAGAATGCCAGATGACAGATGGGAATGAGAGGAAGGTGAGTAGAAAGTAGGAATGTGAGCAAGGTAACAAACTTGCACTGAAGAAGCCAAAAAATTATTTTCTGCTTTCATTCATCTCATCACAATCAACATGCACTAATGTAGCACCGATTTTATACAACTGGCTGTTGCAACACTGCATGTACTTACATTGGTCTGTCTATTTCTGCATCTAAGTGTGTGTGTACATGTGTGTGTGTGTACATGTGTGCGTGCATGCGTGCTCAGAGCGAGGCGTAATGGGAACATGTCAAGAACGTGTCTATAGCTCATTACTCTTCCTGCCTCTTTATCCTGCTGTCAGAGCCCCGGGACCCATCCTCTCAGACATGCCTCGCGATGTTTACACAGCCAGCGAGCCACGTTTTAATTCCTTATTTGTATTATTACTGTGTGTGTCCTCATTAATCAGAGTGAAGGCATTCAGCTGTGCCATGCTGAATAGGGGGGAAGAGAGAGCACCATTCACAACCAATCTGTAATTCACTTGCACTAATGATCTGATGTGATTACAGTACTTGATATGCGAGGGCCTCTGGGGGGAATGGGGTTAGAGGTACTTGAGGAAGAGGAAGGGGTGGAAAGAAGATAGTCAGAAGGAGGCATAAGAAGAGTGGGAAGAAGGCATGATGAATGGGACAGGTAAACATTACTGCAGAAATGGCTGTAAAAACAAGATGAGGATATTCTCCACGCTGGGGCGGCTTTGACACTGAGCTACAGGTAAGCCATCCATCATGGCTGACACTTGGCTGCCACCTGAATAGGTGGTGTGCGGTGACCACACCCCACCAATACAAATCTTTCTAGCTTAAAACTCTGACTCAATATAACAGAAAATCAATTACTCAAGAAGGATGAAACCTCTTCTTACCTCATGGCCTGTGGTGTAACCAGTCTCCAGAATTAACAACCGCCAAGCAAGTTGGTCAAGTTGGTTTTAAAGTACTGTGTTAAATATTAGACTATTTTGGCTCTACTTCCAAACATCGGGGTTTGAAAGAAGTGGTGACTATGAAGTTTTGTGGGTTCATCTTGACTTTAAGAGGCAATCTGTGTTTATGTCCAGGCTATAAAGAATCCCACCTGCTTAACTTGGGGATGAAGAGAAAAAGGTGCTACGATATAAACGATATAATCCCAGTGGGTTGTCCCAGTGTAGCCACGCTGTGATAAAATAACATGATTAAAGTTAACTAAATGGGGACTTGAAATTTTAATACACTGATTTTTAACTACCTTTTTTCTCGAATTGGGATTAGTTGCTGTTGGACGTGCAGTTGAGGTTGGGTAAACGATATTATCTGATCAGCTGTCTCAGTTGTTATGAATTCAACTTTTAGATCACTAGCATGTCACAAACTTTGCTGGACTCCTTTTGCTGTTTTAAATTGTAAGGTCTGACTTCCCATATGGCTGAGCTTATTTAAAAATGACTGAATGTCACAGCAGACAGGCTGTATTGTTACCGCCATAGCTTTTCTACTTGCTTTACATTCATTGTAGAATTGCAAAGTGATTTTTCGTCTGTGTCAGCAGTGAAGGGGCACACTCATTTTGTTTGAATAAGCATTAATCAAATTGTCAATGGACAAACCAGACTGCAGATTCCAGGATTATACCGAGTGCAAGCACTATGATTGCTGTTGTGACTCCAGGTTACAGATTTGGGTTGTCTTTTATATTAACACAGCATACAGCATGGGCAAAACGCAGCACCTGCCCAATGTTAAGTCTGCACCGTAGTCTTATGGTAACTGTTGCTGTTATGCAACATTTAGCTCCTTCCTATCTTCAATTTAAAAAAAAAATCTGAATAGATTCTCACACAGTGTGAGTCAATGAAATGAAAACAAAGTAATTATTACTTGTGTAATTTAAAAAAAGCCTTCTAATAAGATGCCAGTTATACTGGATTAACACATACGTAGCAGCACCGAACAAACGCTTGTAGTTTTTGTGGCTGCTCTGTTGCTGGGAATGAAGCTCATAAAAGCAAAGGTTCAGCCAGAGACATGGAGTCATTAGTGCCACACTGATCACAGCTGATGTCCCAAACTGAGTGCCAACTACATATAAATGCTGCTTCATACATTTAAATACTAAACTGAGGTGAAAGTGGAACATTCAGGGTTTGTTTCAGAAGTTCTGAAAATGACATTGACAGCTACATAAATGACTAAATGTGTGCTGAATTGCTCGCACTATGCCAACAGTATTAATTTAAGCTCTGGAAATCATTTCATGTTTATCTTGTCCAATGTGTGACCAAGATAAAAAACACAAAATGAGTAAGAATTTCCCTTCTAAACCTATTCCTGCATTACTAAAAGTTTTACATGAAACAGCACTGAAAATGAAATGTTAACAAGGACATTTACATCTTTATTAATTCATTTGCCTGGCAAAATTATTCTTGGCATTTGTCTTTGTTTTAAAAGCCTTTGGCAGGTGAGCTGTTTTTATACTCTAAAACATTATTCCAAATCCGGTGTGCGTGCGTATTTATTTTTTCAAGTGAGAGTGTATTCAGGTGTCCCTGGATGGAAGACTCACCACACCGGGAGACAAAGGGGTCAAATTCAGCAACTTCTTGTACTGCTCAAAGGTGAAAAACTGCAGTGGGAAAGATCAGGATAAAAGCGCTGTCAGAAAGTGACATCTGTGCACACATACACACCCACATATGGTGTACATAAAGAAAGCTACCTTAAAAACACACAAAAGGAAAGGGGGAACTACATGAAGATTGCATGTATTTAGTAAACGAACATGAAATGACGGTACGCTTTGAATTTCAGACCTTGATCTTTGTGGAAAGACAAAAGTCTCAAAAGCAGACAGATCCACGGATCTGTTTATTTGACCAAGGGCAAAATGCCAGCAAGACTGTTTTAATCGGAGCTTTAATTTGTTTTCTGGCTCCAGACATTTCTCACCACCTAGCTTTGTTCTCAATGTGAGTGATTACCCCATCTTCTCAGTGTGAGTGCTTACTTTTAAAGTTCACACATCCTTGTTTCCAGCATCTCATTACAGAGGTGTTCTATGCCAAGCATCAGGGCCCTCTGCGCCACCCACCCCCCCGCTCACCCCAATCCCTGTCACCCCATTACACGTTAGCTCCAAATGCTAAACCTCATTACAAATATCCAAAGATGGCTCTCAAGAGATGCCTTTCTTTCAAATGCTTGTAAGTCAATATTTGGAAGACCAACAGAACGAACAGGAGTGGCTGAGGAGGCAGACATGGCAGAGGGCGTCATGTGTTTAATCAACACGTGTGTACCATGTTAGAACGATTGTGGTTTGAGTGTTTTCATATGGGAGTGAAGCAGTTTGCCAAGAAACCAGATCCTGAGCGTTGCATCATATGCCGAGAAGCTCTGCGGCCGTCAGTGAACAAACGGCCATGTCCTTTGTCTCACCTTGACTGCTCTCTTTGGTGTCTCTGCCAGAATAGGAGGTAGGATTCCCTTGTAGAATCCAAATACTCTGTAGAAAGAGAAAATAAAATGTTTCTCTGGCACTGAATTCGACTTAAGTTTTTGTAAAATGTTAGTTTACTTTTACATTGTACGTGTAGTGTATCAACACTACACGTACATCGGATCAACCAAACTGCTGCTGAAATATCTTCTAATACACTGATAACTTTACATCAACTTATTATTCATCGTTGTAATGCAATACAGCTCAACACCACAGCAACTCTAACTTAGGATACAAAGTACAGATTGCATAGGATTTAGGAAGTTTTAGTTATGCATTTTGCCATGTTCCAAGACAAGTTTCAAATGGCTGCTCACTGATTTTCATATTGTATGGAAATAAATGGAAGCCAATGAACGTCAAAAGGCAGCGTGGTGCAGTGGACAGCACTGTCGCCTTGCATCAAGAAGCTTTAATCCACTATTCAGGGCTATGCATGCTTGATAAAGACTTGGCTTTGCGTGATGTCGCAGTGACTTGCTAGTCAAATTTGAGTTAAGGAATTCATACAATGTGCAGAATTCCTGTTTAAGGTTTATATAAAGGTTTAAAAATCACAAAGGGATTGGCGTGACATTTTCTCTTCCTCCTTATTCAGCAAGGCACATTTTCAGATATACTTTCAAACCACAAACCCTGGTAAACATGTTCTACATGAATATGCTGAGGAAATGATTTAAGGGTGTTTTTTCAGTATTTGATACGTTGGATATTTCAGAAGCAGTAGCTGTATAATTTTAGTCAATTTGGTCGTTTGCCTGTGCTCGATCATACATCCAGCCATGATTTAAGGCAGAGTCAGAGCCAGGAAAAATAATAAAATGATACAGTGAGTTATTCATATTGAGATGTGTGCCTACATGGAACACAGGCTATATTTTGGAAAAGCCAATTTTATGTAATGCCTTCACCAACTAAATGAACAGATTGTTAAATTAGTCATTAACACACTTATTGGGTGCTTTTTTTGAATTATATACAAATCTCTTCTTAACCTTTCCATGCTGTGTTCAGATTCACTCAGATTCTTGGATATAAGCTGAGTTACCCTCTCATAGGTAAATGCCCCTTTGTAACCAGGTGAGGTATGTTAACGGCTGATGGAAAAGTAACAAAAGAGCACATATATAGATTCACACGAATGTCTGACTGGTTTTTGATGTACACATGCAAGCGGACAGTAGTAGGCTTTGTTTTGCACACTGCATGTTTCGTATACATTCAGAAGTGCACACACATGCATTTCCCACAGCCTTCAGTTAGGTCAAAACATGTTAGAACATTTAGGACATTTGTTTGAACTGGTCTAGTTTACACTAATGGGGCCAGATTGACATATTTTAACTTTTTCTTACTAGTTGTAATATGTTGTTTTTGTCAAACTTTACCACGTGTGCCACAGGCTCCAGGTCTAAAACGCAGCACATCTGAAGCATCGGATACTTTGAGTCATTAGCTTTTGTGTTGATAGCAAACTGTTCCTGGCAACAGCTACCTCTCCTTCACTATTATCATTCCTAAATGTTGTTTTAAGGGGACTGTCTTGAATTAAAACAGGTAAAACAGGTTTAAATCTTCAAAGAAGGGAAGCAGCAGAGGCCACTACTCTTATACTATCAGTATAAAAGACAGGACAGGTCAGGACATTTTTATCCATAATAAATCAATCAATCTGAAGATGGGGTTATGTATGTGTAATTGCGATAAATATTTCAATAAATATTTTGTTTAATTGCCGTGCAAAGCTCAGGGCAACGATGTGTAAACACATAACAAACGTGTTGCTATGGAAAAACTACATTCTTTTGTGGTCACCACCCATCACAAGCTTTTTAGATTTCCCGCTTCCTTGTTTATTTACCATTGAGATATTTTCCATGATACAAATTCCATTCATGGAAAATGCAAAATATGCTCTTCGATCACAACGTTTCAAAGCTTCCTCTGTTCAATTTTTTTGTTGCTACCTTGCTTCTTGAAAGAACACTTTCAAATGACATCAGTGGTTATTGTGAAACTGCAAGATGGCCTTAATAAAAAAGTTTCATTCAGCTGTTTTCTTTTCTTTAAAAAAAAAAAAAATACAAAACAAAATAAATATTCCGTGGCTAGTTATCTGTGCCAGCTCTGACCTCGAAAAGTGAAAACACACATCAGTGAATCAGAGATGCACATTATGACATGCCCTTCATTACAATGTGGAATACAAGTCATTTTGAAGGAATAGTTACCAGAAACCTGATGGCGTTCTGAAGATTTACTTCTAAAACTCAAGGCTGATATTACAAAGTCTTTGCTATGCTACAAAATAAGAATTTCTCTTTCTCGACCTGCAGATAGAGACTCAAGTAGAGGCTCCAAATGTGGGTTGATGCACAGCTAAAAAAAAAAAGGTTCAGAGAAAAGACACGATTTACTCGGTATTTTGATTTAATAATAAACACTTCTCAGTTGTTTCAGGAAATCATCTAGCCTCCCCCCCATTTGTCATCTAAACAAACACACCACCCTGACAGCAATTAATGGGACTAAGGAGTCAAAAACTAATCTTTTAGGCCTTTCCAAGGAGTTTACTGACAAATAAAAAGTAGCCTTATTACCAAAAATAATTTCTTTATCTAAAAATAAAAAAATAATAGATAATAATATTCCGTAAATGTACACATGGTCATTAAATATTTGTTGTGGCGAAGGGAAAGCGAAACTATCAGAGAGGGCAAACTGATATTGAATACAAGTCAAAGAGGACAACATGGCGTGGCCGACTGTATCCTGTGAACAGCAGCACCAGCTCTGTTGTGGCAACATTCTCTAAAAGTCAACAGAGATGATCTTGGTTGATTGGGTACAAGTGTAAATATTTTTGCTGCTGGAACACATTTCCACTGACTATAACCTGAGACCGACAGGCGATTACGCTTGCACAGAATCCGCAGCGGCGAGGGCGCCTAGCAAAAACAGCAGCAAACCACAACTAATTATCAAAAGACTTTTCATCAGGTGATCCAGCCTATTTGATCAACACCTGAAGCTACACAAGCAGCGCTGGCTCTGGGTAATTGAGCCCGCATTATCATGCCAGAGCAAGGGATTATCGCTGAGCAAAATGCTGCCTGGAAGCCAAAAATGAATCTCTTATATGGTTTGTGTAAACAAGTTATTTCAGTCAGACGGAAGGCCTTTCCCTCTCCTCTCTTTGTCCATGCAAATGGTGGCCACAGATTTCCCGGGTGTGGTCAGGCTGGGGAGCCACCAGGTGATGAAGGAGGAGTGAAATTTGTTACAGAACAAATATGGCCTCTAGTGAGTGGCCATCATTTGAATCCTTATTTGATTGCCAATGTAAAGTACACACTAAGTCCCTTTTTGTCTTTCCTAAACAAATGGCCTCCTGACACAGAGCGAGGGATGAGGGATGTGTGTATCCCAGCATTAGTTGGGTGTACTTGTATGCTTGTGTGTGTAATTTGGCTTTCATTTTCATAAACCTTTCCTTTTTTAACAGCCTTCATCCATCTGGAGAGAAGCGTGTCAGTGACACAACTACACAAAAAAGACCAACTAAATAAATCCACTAACAGCGATACCAGTGACAGAAATAAAAACAGACAAAAATAGCGTAACAGTGAAAATGTGCAAACCTGGAAAGTTGCTGCGATTTACATTTTGGAACACACATTTTATTTTCACAGTCTTTGAGGAAACTGAAAAATGTTGCACAGGGAATATTTTAGCATTTCCTAGTGCCTGTTAAAACTTGACATTGCTCCTAACAGGAACTAAATAACAGAATTCCCAGTGGCCAGGATTAAATCCACCAAAACTGCTTCCGTTTATGCAACTTAGATGTCACCTAAGTCACGAATAGCTATAACTAGAATTAAAAAAAAAAAACCCTGTGTTACTGACGTAAGAGATTGTACGATAAACACTTTTACCTGCTGTAACAAAATGACGCTATAGCACATGTTGTGGTTGTCAGGGGTTTGAGATTTGGATTAATCTAGCACAGTCTGTGAGATAAGTAGGTTTAACAGTAGTTTAACAGTATACTGTTCTTTCTTGCTTTGACTCTGAATCATTAGTTTTTATTCATCTCTGGCTCTCTTCCACATTGTGTCTTTTGTCCTGACTCCCTCTGCTCACCCCTTACCGGTCGCGGCAGACGGCTGCCCCACCCTAAGCCTGGTTCATGTTTCTTCCACTTAAAAGGGAGTTTTTCCTTCCCACTGTTGCCAAATGTTTCCTCATAGTTGATTGTATGATTTTGAGGGTTTTCTTTCTAGTATTATTGGGTCTTTACCTTTCATTATAAAGCACCTTGAGGCAACTCTTGTTGGGATTTGGCACTATATAAATAGAATTGAGGATTAGATATATGTGTATTTTCCTTTATAAATGCAATGCAAGTAGGTCAGTTTAGGATCAAAACTAAAAACAGAAGAAAGCAGCTGGCCTTGACAATATCTCTTTACCTCCTTACTATATCTCCATCAAAAGCTCACTAATAATCTTGGACTATCTTTCCTTTATAAGCTATAAAACTTAATTTCCCTTCAGAGATCCCAGTTATGCATGTTTCCAAAAATGCCAAATATTCCTTTAACCTATTCCTTTCACCGTCGCATTTCATACATGATCTGGATCATCATAATCGTATCTGCTCTTCTTCACACTACCACGAATGTATACATATTTTTTGCATGGGTGGTCCCAGCTGGATTCAACCCCACATCCCTCAACCCTACAGTGTTAGTTCCAGGCATTAGTCACTCATCTTCAGTATTTCCACCGTTCTCATGTAATGCATGGACCCTTTTAATATAACCATGGCCGCGCTTTGGGTCCCGACCCAGTCTCTGGATACCACACTAGCAAAGAATGCTAGAGAATAGAGTCTTTTTGTTTGCCTCCAGACGGAAACACTTAACACATGCTCACGCTGCTGCACCCACATGCAAAAAAAGAAAGAAGTGCAGACTGTAAGGCAATACACAACCAAGTGTTAGTGAGTGTAGTTCACACGGTCACACACTTATGAGCACAGCTACAGGATTTCATGCTATATTTCAGAGATGGCAAATGTAAAATTTTAACAGATATAACTTTTAATTCGTGTTAAGCATTCACGTGCATCTCCTTGTATATGAAATTAAATACTATAGGTGCAGCTATTGTGTCCAGGCTTGTGTCTTTCTTCAGCTTAGTCACTGAGCTCAACTTTAGAGCTCAGGTTTCCTCCCTCGCCGCCTCAAAGAGGGAGAGAGAGAGAGAGTGAGAGAGAGGTCTGGTGTTGGCCCTGTTCTGCCATGAGCTGACGGGAGAAGTTTATTTTTAATAATAATTCTACAACAGTGGGGCCTAACACTATTTATATAAATTATAACTAAGTGGTTTGGCCTGTAGGTAATCCTCAATGTGCTACTGGGGAGTGATTACATACTCAGCAAAAATATACTGTTAATGATAATTGGTCGACAAGGAAGTGGATCTTCCGTATTCAGTGATTCTGCGGCACGTCTCGACTTTGTCAGATGAGATCACACTCAAACAGCACTCAAAAGCTTATGTTGATATTGTGAACGCCACGCTTTATGTCAACCATTTTATGTGCCAAACGGATTCTCTGGAAATTCGTACAAGGTTAGTCCCGCAGGACACACCCAAAAAGTAGGCAAAGAAGCGTTAAATGTCACACTGTCAGCATGCGTATGGGGTGAAGAGGGCACGGCTACTGTAACAGCATAAGTGTGTGTGTTGAACTCCAGCCAACTGAGGATTTCTAACTGTCACTAGCCAGCCTCTTGCCTTGCGCTCACTCACACCTTGCAGCAGATCAACTTTATATCCGCAGTAAAGCTGTCGGCTCATCGTAAACAGAGCGAGTGGCAAACACTTTCTCCTACGCCTGCTCTATCTCACAGACCTGTGACAGGGCAGGCAGACGAGGAGGGAGCATGGCAGGATGGCTGTCTTTAGTTAGTCTACTCGTATCCTGTATGAGATACAGCGTATAATAAGGTATGTTCAGTGGTTTGCTGCACAATATTTTTGGAGGCTGACAGACACATCAGCCATTTTTAAGGAAGCCAAACTGTAATGCTCACATCCTTATAGCCACCAAACCACATAACTTTTGGTTACATTTAAATAAAGCAGCATGTTTGGAAGAAATGTCACTCACAGCATAGCTGACTACATACTTTTCTCCCTGATATGCTTTCAGTATGACAGCAACAGTAGCTTTTCCTAAGAATTAAAGACATAAAAAGCATAGTATACCTATGGACACAACAACATAAGCAAACACCAAGTTTTTGGTGGCCAACTTAAAGTTTTGCCTTGATGTCACAGTACATTTTATTGTTCTAGGTTGTTGTAATAAAGATGCATTCATTGAGTTTGTGCTTGACTTTTGCCCCTCAAGGAACTATTAAAAAGAAACGAATTTAATAAGCATAGGCAAATAATGGCACTATCAACCTTTGTGTTTTTCATGTGCAGGAAAACAGAAAGACTCATGAGTGGCTTCCCGTGTTATTTTGAATCACTACTGAGGATAACCTACCCTTCACTCTGGAAAATTGTCCGGAAGCAGTGACCCAGGCTCTTGTAGCTGGTGGGGTCAGTGGTTCCTCTTTGGATCTGAAACCTGCAACAAGAAATTTCTGATTAAAAATTCAGTTACTTTAAATATTATGATCATCAGCTCCATCAACTTATGTTAACTCTGCATAGGGACTGTTATCATAGCTAGATGTTGGTTTCTTTTCATTTCTATCCTCATTTCCTGTGTAGGCTATACTCCGACATGGCTTCAAAAGCACAAATTTGAGCTTGTTTTCCCTCTATTTTCTTCCCTCTCTTTTTTCCCTCCTCCACTATGATGAGAGGCTCCTTCCACCAGGTCCCCTCAGTGCAGGAGAGAACTTAAACATTTATTTAACCCAACTGATCCAATTAACCATGCAACACACCAGGACCAGGCCTTTTGCACAAAGCATTTCAGGTACTAACATGCCAGCAAGCCTATAGTAACAGCTCTTGAGTTACGTGTAAATTTTTAATACGATGGAGCCAGTCGAGTGACTTTTTGTTGTACAGCAAACATGCAGGTACCTCTCTAATAAAGTCTGGTGAGCTGTGTGTAAATCTTGAAAGAATGAATAGAAATCATGCTTGTTAGTGGTAAAGAGCTTCAGGTACTCATTTAAGACTCCTCATTTAACACCACTGTATGCCTTGGAATTAGAGAAAACATGATGAAATAACTAATGTCTTACATGTGAAATGAGATGATGACAACTGTGTTTAACAAGATGACAAAATCTAACTTGAAGATCTTAAATAACATTAGCAATTCTGAGGAGCGAAGCAGGAGACACGAGTAAAAAAAGCAGGCAGTAATGGGACAAGAGAAAGATTCCCTCCTCATATGGCTTCAACTTCTAGGTCACAAGGTCAGCAGTAAGTCGTCCACGCGGGTGCCTGATGGGGCCATAAAGAGCCCCCAGGTTCCAGTGGAGGGGAAGTTTAGTGGGGTGAGCGGCCTTTCATATCACTAACAGATTAACATCTTAGAGGGGTGTCCCTCAAATCCTATTTGGTGGATTCCCAAATAGCTTGTAACTGGTTCCTGAAAACTAGTAAAAACAGGATAATAAATAGATGTCTGACACCATATTAAAGACAAGAAGAAAAGAAGGACTCAAGGTATGAGATGATGGTGAAACAGGGGGTACTGAGAGGAGGCAAACACCAAGAAGATTTAAGACCACAGGGGCTTGTAAACAAATTCAAATCTGGCTTAATTAGAGTCATATGATGAAGGGGTCAAGGATGGAAGGCACTCTGTCCTCAGTCTCCCCCTGTCTCCTTTGCTTGCCCTACTTCGACCCGAACTGGCCCTAAGAGAGTGAGGTTGGCAATGCCGTGGTCCAGTTCCAGCCCCCTGACTCCACTCGTAACCCCGGGGTCACCTCATTTCCTCATGGCCCTCTTCTACCCTGTCATAAAAGCCAGGGACCAAGCAGAAAGGCCCAGGGAGTAGAAGATAATAGGGATGAATATAAGAACTTATGGCAGCAGGGGAACTGTCAGGCCCCTGGCTAGGAAACTGCTTATGTTGCTTTTCACAGCAACCAGTTGTAGAAAACAAGACCCAAAGCTTCAGTTGGTTGTGAGTGGATGTCCTGTTTGGGGGGATTTGTGCAGACAAAAAGCTCTAGTTTCTGTTAACACGGCCTCAGTGAATACAAAGATATACTGGTTGGCTGAAGAAGAGCAAAAGATATCCTTTATATTGCTCTGGCAGATTTGCTTGGCCTTGGAGTCAGCCCTGCAAGTCATAAACTCTATAGACGGAAGACCCAAGGAAAACCCTGGGGCTTCTTTAAAACACACTGCTTGGAGCATCTTCTTCAATCATCAGTGAAAGCTAATGGAGATACAGTATACCAAGAGGTGATGAAATCTGCAAGTTCATCAAGGCTCCCCCATTTGTTCTTCACCCACATCCTACTCTCTCTGTACTTGTGCTTTATAGGCCCAGAGCTACCCGGGAGAGGGTGAAGGCGAGGGCAGGTTGGTGATTCTGCAAACGAGACAAGCACTCTTGTTTAAATAATACGAAAGACCTCGTCCACCTGACCTCCAATACCTATAAAAGCACAAATGTCAGGCATCCACAAAGATGTCAAAAAGGTAAAGGAATGTGCAGTAGAAGGCTAGAGCCCCATTCTTTGTATTTTTATGGATAGCAGAGGAGTGTTTCAGGGCTTAGCAAGGCTATGCCCGCTCCCAGACCCTTGTGGTAATGGGCTTGAATGGGCCACCGACAAAATGGGCTGTCATCTCATAGATGGTGAGATGTGGAGGTGAACCTACAGACTGTGTTAAAAAAAAAAAAGCCTATAGGAAGGGGGTTGCTAGGTTGATTCAAGCGCATAGGTTTGACTGGGCAGATTTAAAAGCCTTTCTTAAGAGATATGGATATTCCCTTAAAAGAAATTAATAGCTGGATGAGTTTGATGACTTGCTATTTATTTAAAAACTCTTATTTATAGCTGTTCAGACAGACTGACATTTAATTAAAACACTAAGTAGAGAAGTAATGACCTAATCTACAACAGGCAGTTACCTATACCTATCTATTATACTGTAGTATTTCATATAGTGCAATTTTCCCCAAGTATGAATGTTTTATGATTTATGTGTTTTGCTGCGTATTTGGACTGGTTGCTACAGTGAGAGCCTTGATCTGCCCATGCCTTCCCACTTGGAATGCCAAGTGCTTTGACAAAAAAGGAGAGAAACAAAAAATATGATTGAAGAAAAAGAAGAAGTGAATCACAAGGGGGAGGAATGAAAGTTGAGCAATTTCTCATGTTAGATCTGAAGTACATAAGACAATCCAGAAGGAAACATAAAGGGGAAGTCTATTTTTTTACAACCAGACAGTTAATTTTAATGAGCAGGATCATAAAGATGGTAAAAGTCCATTGCATTGGTACATGAGGTTACGACCACATTTCCGACATAAATGGTCCAACATGGCAAATTCCTTCAATTGTGACTTTAGCCATACAGTCTTGCATCAGGGTAAAGAGCCAAAATAAAAGGCTCCCGTCTTATTGTTTTGACAACGGAGATGACTTAGTCCCACAGAGTAAATAGTGTGTTCGATTTAAAAAGCACCATAAATTAAGGTGTATCACACTTAAGTTTGATTTCAACTCATCTATGCCCTGTCCATAAAGAAATGAGCAAAGAAAAAATTGATATATTAAATCTATAATAAAACTGTTACAGGAAAAACTGAGAATAGGAGCAGAAGGGATATAAAGACAAACCTTTGGAGAACAGAATAGGAAAAAATATTAAAGGGGAAGAAGATGTGAGATGGGAGCTCAAGGGAAGTGATAAACTTTTGGTGCTTGCAACACGGCAGGCTGCCAGAGTTTGATCTGGACCAGGCCAGGTTAGGTTTCACCAGCACCCACTGGATCTGGGAAATCCCAAATTATACATGCAGTCTGGATATCAGAAAAAAAGTTAGTCTGGTTGTTAAAGGGGCTACAAAATCCTTCTGTCATTCTGGATTCTCTCTCACACTGATAAAACTGATTCCTCTGAATCCCAGTGGTGATGCTGGGACTGTTTCGCTACTCCAGATGTCTGCTCATATGCTGTGACCCTTGTGACCTGAGATCAGGCAGTGTTACTGGAGAAGAGCAAGAAAAAAAGCTGCATAAAACACCATGAGGCAGGGCCAGTCTAAGACTGGGACCTCAAATGCTTTGAGCATTACAAACTTCTGCTTGACTAAGAGATAACTCTGTGTTAGAGTGGACTGTGGCAAATTTAGAACGTGACTACTGCAGAAGTGGATCAGATAGGTGGAAAAAATGAGCAGTCTTACCACCATTTCCAGAAAACGATTGCATAACAGGAAGGATTTCTTGGGTGTTTAATCTAGAGTCTTTTAAACTCTGCCAACTGCTGTTAGCTGAAATTATGGCGCTATGGTGCAGTTTTAATTATGGCATCATATAAAAGTAAAAGTAAAACAGTAAAACCTCTTTTGCAGGTTCTTCAAGTACAAATTAAAAACAAAGAAAAAAACTCAGGTTACTATAACTCAATATTATTTTTTTTTATCATGGCTAAAACTAGACCAACTCTCTTTTTCGATAATTAAGGTACTAGTCTTTCGATTGATTATCTCATCAGTCATAGAGTAGTCCAGGAGAGGACAGTAGAAGCCACGGTTGGGAACTTCTGCAATATTGTTTAGACTCCCATGAGCTACCAACATAGACTCCCCTGACAGCAGGTAACTGCTGGCTGTAAAAAAGTGTGCTCCAGACAGAAGACAACTACCACGCATATTGCCAGGAAGAAACCCAAGAGTTACGCTGACATGTCTCAGCCTTGGCTCAGATCTCGACTGAATTTGCCAATAATCATACTTAACCTCCTAGGACCTGACATCACATTTTGGGTTATTTAGACCAAAATACTAAATTTTACTCGATAAGGGCCTGATATCCACTTACGAGGACATTATACTGCTACTGTTCTATGAAAATTTTAAACAAATATCCTCATATGTGGCTCTTATTTTTCTTAAAAACAAAAATAAGGTAAAAAAAATAATCTGGTAATTCTTTGTTTTTACATTCATCGGGCCCCAATATGCCGAAATATCAAAGAGAAATTAAAAATGCATGCGGTGGAAGAGTTCGGGTCTTAGGAGGTTAAACTACAGAGGCCTTGTTTCAAGAAATTCAGTCATCTTGCTGTTATATTCTTCATTTGTTTAAACATTTGTGTCATGATGTTTTAGGGTGTAGATGCCAATTTGTCTCAGGGCTTGTAATATTGTTATTTAAAGACTTACTGATCAGAAAGTTGTTGAAAAAGAGTCACCCAGCCACGTGTGGATAAAGAAGAATACTGTTACCTTTCTCTGTTGCTTTTCTTTCAACTTTCTTTTCATCACATATATCTCTTAAAACTCTTTCTTGGACAAACTGCTATCTGCCCTTATCTGGTATCACTGACTAAGAAGTAAGCATAACGCTTTGTGCAAGTGCAGGCCACAGTAATTTTTACTGGACGCCATCCAGATCTTTTAGCTTAAATCCAGTT